CTCCAACTCAAAAAAAAAAAAAAAAGATTAAGCTATAATTTTTCATGTCAGGCCTGCAGAACTTTGTTCATTTTAAGAAAAGATATGTTTTTGAGACAGCAGGCAAAGAAACAGAATTCATTATAAGTTGTCTAGACCCAAAACAACATGTGTAAGAAGGAGAATCATTTTCTATTTTGGGACTAATTGGAGAATATACCCAAGGAAACATACCTGGACTCAGAAACTGGTCTTCTGTGAGTACATCTCCAAGGGTGATGGATAAAAACTGGTACTTGGGTCTCTGCCAGCACCAGAACCTCTTCTTTTTGATCACCAGACTTAGAAGTTGTAACTTATCAGAGTCATTCAAATTTGATACTGCAATCAGGTTGCCACCAGCATCAACTTCTCTAAGAAAATTCCTTGTTGCTTTGGCAAACATTTTGAAAGCTTCAGATCACCTGAAAAAAAATAAGATTATCCTAAAATCAAATTAAAAAGTTATGTTGTGACTTTCTTAAAAAATTATTATATTTTTTCTTAATCGCAACAGTTCATATGAAAGAACATCTTCTCCCTAGGAGACCCTGTAGTTTGAGCTCAGCTGATGATGAAGAAATCAAAATCAGCTATTGAAAAAACTTATGTGTAATAGTCAGGGTAGGCTAGGGGGGAACATAACATCGGTGGCTCAGCCTGTAATCCCAGCACTTTGGGAGGCCGAGGTGAGTGGATTGCCTGAGCTTGCGGGTTCAAGACCCGCCTGGGCAAGTTGGCAAGACCTCATCTCTACAATAAATCAGCCGGACGTGGTAGCACATGCCTGTAGTTCCGGCTACTCGGAAGGCTGAGGCGGAAGGATCGCTGGATCCCAGCAGGTCGAGGCTGCGGTGGCCGGGAGCGGCCACTGCACTCCAGTCTGGGCAACAGAATGAAACTCCAACTCAAAAAAAAAAAAAAAGGGTACCTGATCTCAAACCAGGCAAAGTGAGGACCAAAGGGAGGCCCAAACTTTACCTGTATGATGACCACTTATATGCTTAATCCTATGTTGTACTCCACAACTTTAAAATTTAAAAAAAATTTAAAAATAAACAAGCCCCATGTTTTTATAATGATAAAAGTTTGTCTGTTGCTCACACTACATGTTTAATACAGGGGGACAGAAGAGTTTTGTTTATTCAAGTTATTTAAGGATCCAGACTGAAGGGAAAGCCACTATCTTGAACATTGTCAGTCATTATATATTCTGTTCTGGAAGGTCTCATACCAGCAATAAAATGCTCTGACCCAAAAGTGACACATAGCATGTTTACTTAAATTTGTCAGAATTAGTCAGATGACCGCAGCCAACCTTAAATTTCAGGAAATACAATCCTACCAAGAGTCTTGAAGGTAGAGAATATTTGTTGAACAACATCCTGACCACCCAAATACTACATCTTCAAAGGGCCACAGGTGCTTTTCTCTACACTATGTGATCTCGCCTATTCAGAAATGGAAAGTATCTAGCTATGACTTTTTAACTCAGAAATAAAGGCACAGTAGCACTTCAGCTGGAGGGAAAAAAAGAAAGCCACCTGGAAGATATCAAAGGTAAGTACTATATCCGGTGGAAGAAGTGCAGACTATTTAATAAAGGGTGTTGGGACTATGGGCTAACCATCTGGAAAAAGCACAGTCTGATTCCTCTCTCACACAATACACAGAGCAAATTCTCAATGGAACAGAGGTTTCTTTGAGGAAAAATGAAACTATGAAAACACTAGAAAAAAATACAAATGTATAACAGTAGAATGAGAGAGGTCTTTAGAAAAAGGAAAACTGGGACAATACTTATAAGATTTATGATGAAGGACATAAATACTTAATAGATATTTTTTAAAACTTTTACAAATCAAACTTTAGAATATTGTTCTCCAGTGGAAACATCAGCAAAGCTTATAAATATACACGTTGCACATAGCCAAATATATATACACATATATAATTTTTAAATGAATTACATAAAAAAGCATCTGAAATAACTCTTTTAAAAGCTATCTATGGTCAAAGTTAAAAGGTCTAACGAACAAGAATTGTGTTTTATTTGTATTCACACCCTGGTGCTTGGCACAGTCACACAATCACACTGCTCTCTTAGGATTTAAGAGCTGGGAATAATCTCAGACTTAACTAGTTCAATCCACTATCTTTAACGTGAATCTTCTCTTGGGCATCAGAAAAATTTGTCTTACCTATTACTAGTTCTTCTCTAAAGTACCTTTTTTTTAGATAATTATAAAGCAGTAGTTACCTGACCCTGTTCCTGTCTATTAACAGTAAGAATGAACACTTAAGGAAGAGATTCTAATACACGCAAGGAAGTTTCTTTCTGAGACAGTGAACTGCAAAGGATAACTAAATATGCCCAGGCTCTCATTTCGAATTATTTCTCACTATTCTATATTCATACTTGAATTCAATGGATCACTCATTTATTCACTTACCAAATCATTAATGAATTGTTCATTCGTTTTTCTTGAGTTCCTACTACACAAAGTACTGTGTTTAAGCACTTAGGATACAGAGACAATGAACTCTCTCCCCAGTAAGCTACTAATGTGGTGGCCAAAGACATACACAGCTAAGTGTTAGGTTAGCTATTGGCACAGATTGCTCCAGGCAAAGAACCAAGAAAAAGGTATCTAAATGCCACTGGGGAGAGGTATAGGGTCACAGAAGTAGACGACAGCCAAGAAGTATCCCAGGCCAAGGAGCATAGAAGGATGTTTTAGTGAAGGGGCAGCCATTATGGAAGCATAGACTCTTCAGGAGGTGGGAAAGGGACAGGGAAGACAGCACAAGGCAAGGTGTGTTACCAGCAAGCTCAAGATGGCCCAGGAGACATTGTGTTGTGTTGAGATGCCTACCCACCACTTCACCAACAGATGGAATCAAGCTCTGAGATTGACTTCTGCCATGGAGTACAGGGTTCCAGAGTGGGGAAGGGCCAGGGAAAAGGCTGAGGCGACCCCTGATCCAGGTCCTGAAGGCCCATGCCTCCCCTGCAGGTATGCCAGGGAGGCAAGAGACATTAGAGGGTATGTCTAGGGCACAACATAATCAGAATGGTCACTTAGAAAGACCTTCTGGAAGCAAAATAGGAACGAGACTGAAGATGGACAAGAAATAGTGGTACTCTGAACAAAGTCAGTGGCCTAAGGACAAAAAAAGATACTGGCCTGGTGGTTTCTCTGGTTGGATACAACTCTGGTTGGATGAGGGGTGCTGGTGAAAGAAAGAAGATTCCTCAGGGAATCTCAGGTGTGGGCTGGATGGTGCAAGGAGAGAAGCCAGTTATCAAGAGGGGAAATTCAGAGGAAGCAGACTGATAGTGGACAACAAGGCAGTCACTACTTAGAGTGTATTCAGGGTAAGGCACAGGATTGTTTTTGACAAATACAGGGAAAGGACTTTCGACAAAATAGGGTCTCCCCTGTGACCCATGAGAACACATCCTGCTGATCTAAGAGAAGAGTTGTAGCAGGCTCTGTCTCAGTTTACCACTGGTGTCAGGATCTCTATTTTCATGGTTTCTATTCTTTTCTGAGACAAGCTGAAAGAGAGTTCATCAACTTGCCTTCAGATCAAACAGGCTTCCGTAGAAACCAAATCAGCCTTGCTGTTAACAAAAATTAAAAAATAAATAAAACCCATCTGTTGTCAGTGACAAAGCCTTAGTAAATGATACCAATCCACCCCCAGAGGGATTAGAGGGTTAAAAAGGAACTTCCTAAATTAATTTTTAATGTTTTTTTTTAATCTAACTTCAAACAGCCAGTTTGCCTTCTTGACAGGGAAGGGTGCTTTAGGGAGAGTGACCGGAGGTGGTCACTGCTTTGTAGGTTTTTATTAGAATCAGACTTATTCTGTCATAGGACTCTGAGAATTTTCTCCCTGTGAAGTTAAAGTTAGCAATTTCTTCTTATGTTTGGATACATCATCCATTTGCATGGCTCAGAAATCTACATGATGGAAAAAGCTGAAAACTCCCATTCCTGCCCATGCCCCAGCATCCCTTTGACTCCCTCCCTTCAGGCACATGGCCTCCATGTTTCTTTATACAAATATACGGAGTCGACAGACTGTTCTGTACTTGCTTTTTGCCATGTAACAACATACATGTGAGTACATTATTCTATGATGTGTGGTACTCCCTCATGTGGAGGGATCGTTGTTTATCTGACCAATCCTATCTTGCCTCTTAAGTTTTGTTATTTTAAAGGGACTCCACTAGGCTCACACCTATAATCCCAGCATTTGGGGAGGCTGAGGCAAGAGGATTGATTGAACCTAGGAGTTCGAGACTAGCCTGGGCCATAGAACAAGACCTTGTCTTTACAAAATAAAAATAAAAATAAAAAAATTAACTGGGCATAGTGGTGTGTGCCTGTGGCCTGTGGTCCTAGCTATTCAGGAGGCTGAGCCCAGAAGGTGGAGGCTGTGGAAAACCATAATTGTGCCACTGCATTCCAGCCTGGGAAACACAGTGAGACCCCAACTCAAAAATAAATAAAATTAACTAAATATAGGATGCCCCCACTAAGTACCCTTGTGCATACATCTTCTTCCTACAAGGACAAGTATATCTGAAGGGTAGAGTCCTAGACAAGAGATCGCTGGATCAATGGGTAATGCATCCCTAATTTTAGAGGCTGTACCATTCTGCCATCTCACTAGTAATGTATCCAATAGTATCCATCTTAATAACAGTGTCATTATACATTTGGATTGTTTGCCATTCTGCTAGGTGAAAAATGAAATCTCAGTATAGCTTCAGGTTATGTTATTTTAATACAAATAAAGTCAAGTGTTTTTTATTTTGTTTAAAGGTTTTTTGTATTTCTTTTTTTTTTTTAACTGCTTGTGTCCATTTCAGTTGTTGTTCATTTTGCTTTATTTCTTAGGAACTCCTGATATAATAGACAGGTCAGTCAAAATCTATTGTTAGAAATGTAGCACAATAGAGTTATAGTGTGGCATTAGGAGACAACACACGACCACCATCATTCTCAAACACGGAAGTAACTGGTCTAACCAAAAAAGATTAAATAATATGCTCAGTCCAAATGATTACAGTATCTAGAACCCAAGTTGCCGGACACAGACAAACATAGTTATGTCTCATTAACCAGAAGTCAGACTTTGGTTTCAAATTGGAAGTAGATGAGTCAGATTTTGGAGATAAAGCTCAAATAACCCATGGCCTAAAATCCCACTGCACTTCACAGCTGTTACACAGATTCTGGGCTCTCACACAGAGCCTTAAGGATTATATCGGCAAACAGTCCTTCTTCATCTATCTATCTGGCTTCCCAGCTCAAGGCAGACTTAGAGCTCAAAAGGCCAAATGAATGCCATAAGGATATCCTAGCTTGAGTCAGATTCCTGGACAGAAGACCTGAAAGAAAGAGACCAA